ATGGATGGATGGATGGATGGATGGATGGACAGGGATGGATGGATGGATGGATGGATGGATGGATGCATGCATGCATGGATGGATGGATGCATGGATGGATGGATGGATGGATGGACAGGGATGCATGGATTGATGGATGGATGCATGGATGGATGGGTGGATGGTTGGATGGAAATTCCAGTGGAAGGTGTCCCTGCCCATGAGACTTGATGTATTTAAGGTCCCTTCCAACCCAAACCATTTTAGGATTTTATGTTCTTGATTGCCTGGAATTTTCCTGGGCTGAAATCAATCACAAAATATGAGTGGTTCAAAAGGTAGGAAAGTTTGAAGGTGCAGATACCAAATAACACGAGCTCACCTCAGTTTCCTCTTGTACTCGTCTTCAGAAACAAACTCTCCAGGAAACTCTGGAATTTCCATTGTTCCCCACTCTGGTGACAACTACAACGTTAGGAAAAAAAAGATTAAAATAGTTCTTGGAAGTGGACAGTGCTTTTGTCAGTACATACTGAGGAATATCCCTTGTGTGCTCACAGTCCTGTTCAACAGTTACTAAACCAGTGTGAAATTTCTGTTCCTCAGTTGGAGAGTGATTCGGTTTCTCCAACCAGGCATCCCTGCACAGGCCAGAAATGTTATCTATCAGAATATGGAAAAGTCAGACCATGTTACAGACCCCTTCAACAACCTCCTCCTCCATCACTCCTCACAAAAGGAACAGTTCTAAAATGCAACAGGAACAAGTAATTTTAAACAAGAGCATTGATCAGTCACCTTTAATTTCTTGTCCAGGTAAGCTGGAGACACCCAACCCTGTCGAGAGGGACTTGATTTCGTGGGTTTAGTCCTGACCAGCCATTTCAGAGGATGAGCTGAATCCAGGACTTCCACGTATTGTCCTTCCTTCAGCGTGATGGCCTCCCTGTCGGGCGCCGCGGGCACGTAGTCAGCAGTGACCATGTAGACATCAAAGATCTGCAGGCACAAAACCTTAGTCACTTTGTGCTCCTGATTTTCCTCATGAAGAACTTCCCAGCAAGGTTCCTCTGACCATCTCCATCAAGGCCACAGAAAATCAAGCTCYGACTCTCTGAAGTTCAGCCATGAAAGCAAGAGGCGCCAAGTCATGGCTATGTTTGGTCCATGCTGACTTGAACKACTTGCTCAGGATCACAGGGTGAGCATCAGAATTTGATTCTCTGTGCTCTGCATCACAGACACAAAACTTCACTGCTAAATATACCTACAAAATCCTAAAGAGRATGGGCACCCCTAAACCACAGTGGATTGGTCATTCTAAGTTTAGTTTTCTCCTTGTGCCAAASTGGTCCATAAAGATATTGTACCTCTCCTCTGGAATCGCCATCTTCAGATTCAGAGGAGGATTCCTGAGCAATGGATGAAGGTCTGGATCGCCCGTGGCGAGGGGATGCAGAGGGAGTTTTTGACTCATCATCGCTTTCTGCGCCCGGGACTCGAAGTTTTGCTGAAAAGCAGAGCAACAGCAAAGTGWGAAGTAAGGATCTCCAATTTAAACATGAACCAAATCTATCAGCATTTTTCTTCTTCTGAGGAAAAGCATTTGTAGTAATATCCTATTGATATTTAGGATTAAATTATCAGTTTGGACGTTTTAATACATGATGGTGCAGGCCTACTGCACGTATTGCCACTGCACTACAAGAATATTTGTTGGAGAGATAATTGCCTCTATTTTTGCCTCAATTAAAATTTTTCTACAAAATAATCAGGGCAGACACAAACCAGGATTTTTCATTAATTCAACATATCATTGTATTACTGCACAGCTGTGCACAGAGTTTTCTACCCTAATTGAAGGGTTTCTAAAATTCCAGTGTGAGCTAAAACTTGATGTGGGACATCTTGAAAACAAGATTTCCTTCTGATTTAGGAGTGATGAATATCTGAGGATTTCAAAATACCTAAGACATGCAAAATACACTTCTATTTTTACAATTWACTGTAATAACTTTTTTCCTAGTTCAAAACTCTAGAGTGAGATGAGCAGTTTGGATGGACTCCTACCAAAATTTCTTAGCCCCAAGCACTGACAAGTGTTCATTTGCTTATATAGAATGATTGACTCRAAACCTGCTGCATAAATCCCATTTATAATTAAACAATGCCTAAAAAAATCAGATTGCTTTTTCTCCCCTACACTAATTAAACTGTGATTTCCAGGTTCCTTACCCTGAGTTATTTTTGCAGATACCATTTCTGAGATACGTGAGGTGAGTTTCTGGAAGAACTCTTCTGAGCCAACATCAGCTAATGAAATAGGGCTTTTGGGCACACCTTCTCTGCCAGCTTCAAGGTCTCCTGGGAAAGAGAAAATTTGTTGTYAAACTGGCAATGTCATTGGAAAATAATCTCTTTTTGAGTAATAAAAGTTGCTGTGGAAGGAAGGTTTAATTTTCTTCCCTTCTCCTGTTTTTAAAACTCTGCTTGTTCACAGTTCATCCAAATAATACACCCATGAACAGAGAGGAGGCCTGGAATGTTCCAACATTTCTGACAGTTTCAAGAAAACTCCACAAAAACATGGATGCATGAAACCCATTGACGATCTCAGCTGTAGATGTGAAAGGCAGGAATAAGAGAGAGAGAAAACAGCTTCTCTTACCTTCAGAGGACTGGATAGTTCTGAAAAGGAAAATAAAGCAGAGTTAAAAGTTACAATAAAATGGATAATTAGGAGAGCTTAGCGGGGAACACATTCCCCCTTCTCCCACACATCCAGTCACTCACCCCAGTGTGGTCATGATGGCTTCTGACACCATCACACGCTCCTGGGTCAGCACTTCAGCCTCTTTCACTGCAAGATTGGGGTTTATCATTAGAGGACAGAAAGCACAGAATGTCTTTTTTTAGGTATTTAATGCAGGTACATTTCCAGATGTGGATTTCTGGGAGTGCTGTAGCAGCTCCTGACTTGGGATTTGTATTCCCAATCCTGTGATGCCAATAGTTTCCTTCTCTCCCAGTTAATGTAAATATACGATTGCCCCATTTCTCCACACTGCTCAAGCTATGCTCCTGCAGCTCTCAAACAGTAAAAAATGTGGGATGCAAGGCAGGATAACAGAGAAATGGAATCCTTCACAGCTCTGCCCTTAGTCCCAGTCTATATTTGCTTTTTCCCTTTTTTATTGTGTCAAAACAGGCCCTGGAACGCTCTACAAAAATCAAATAACCCTAGTACAAGTCCAAAATACCTTAGCAGAGTGAAGTACTCAAAATAATTTTTCAAAAGATGACTTTTCCCAGATACTTTATAACACATTTCTTTCATTTTTTTAAAAAAATTGTGCTTAATTCAGTTGTTCCTTAGACTTGCCTTCTGTTTCTACAGAAAAGATGCTGCTGTTAATACAAGACAGAGTCAGAAATCTAAAATATGATTAAAGTATAGAGCGTAACCATTTGTAAGACAAGCAAAATCAAGGCTAATCTTAAAAAATGCAATTTTTTTGGGTGTGATTGGATAATTTCCTTACAAGTCACACTTGGGGTTTGTTTTTTTCCCCCTTAGACACTGAATAAAAGGGAAATGTAGAGAAAGTGCTTGTGTTGTAGCAAATATTTACCATCTGCCACTTCCAGGTTGGCAGTGCAGATGGACTGGCCGGCCTGGTTGGTGGCRATGCACGTGTAAGCTCCGCTGTACTTCTTCTTGACATCCAGCAGGATCAGGCTGTGGTGCATGTTGGAGCTGGCCAGTTTGTACCCAGGAGTATCTGGTTTGATCCACAGGATGTCTTCCCGGGACTCTTCCTTCATCCAAGTGATAGTTGGTGGCGGATGTCCTAAAAGGAAACCAGTGCAACGAGGTTTAGTCTTCCCTAGTTGTGTTCCTTCCTTAAAAATACGAGCCTGGCTGTAAATAAATGCTGTTTTGATCCATTTTMTGATACTTTCCCAACAACAACAGGCATAATATGTAATAAAGGAGCATAAACCATTTTAAAGCACACTCATAAAGGCATTAAATCTTTTTGTAAAACCAAAACTGTAAATCAACACACCTTCATAAGACTCTGACWTATTATGCCMGTCTTTATACACAGAAAAATGGACRTAAAGATGAATAAGATGCTTTACTGTGAAGTGTCTTTGTAAGAATTATAAATTGKGAGTAAAATCCCAGACTTCAGAGACAGGAAATGAGGTTACAACRACTTGGGACAGAGAGAGAAGAATCTTGTAAAGTTACACAATTCAAGTGTCGTGAAGAGGGCTGAGGTTGCTGCCCACTTACCTTCAACTTTCACAGATAATGTGATRCTTGCACCCTTTTTCACCTTCTTATTCGTAAATCTTTCAAGGAATCTTGGTGGTATCAGCTGCTCACAGGATTCTGGAAATAATATTATCRATACAATGAGTTCAGAATGGAAAGTTCCTGGGGTTTCTGTTATCCCCTGCTGTGGCTTCTCTCACCTGTTTTTGATGGCTCTTCTTTCTCGTAAGGATCTGGAACACAAACAGAAAAACAAAATGATAAATATAAATAACTCCAAAGTTGCTTCAGTGAAGATATTAMACAGAAATATTGGTGTGATTTATAAGAGGTTTTAAGTTTTAATAAAATGAGCTTTTAAAGTTAATGAAGATGGGCAGGAATAAATTGCATGGTTATGAGGCAACAGCCAGACCATAGAGATGTGACATCATCTTAAACATTTATATACTTAAATAAACCTATAAATCTACAAAAATTTATAGGTGAACCAAGCGTGATGCACATCATATTTTACCTACAGACTTCCCCACCTCACATGAGTTACCTTGGRAGGACTCCTCAGGAAAAAATAACTACATAAAATGGCAAGAGCCTCTGGAATAGCCCAAMATAGAGCAACACCCACCTTTGACTACCAGCCTGGCTGAGGAATAGGCAGAGCCAGCAGAGTTGATGACAAAGATCAGGTACTGGCCRGCGTCAGCTTTGGTGACGTCGCGGATTTCCAGGGAGTGGAATTCCTGCCTGTCAGTTTTCAGGATGCGATCCGAGGCCTTCAGGGGCTGCCCATTTTTGAACCAATAGAGACGAGGCTGGGGGTACCCTGCAAGGAGCAGTTGCAGACACGGAGAATAAAATTCATTGGCAATGCTGATTTGGGAGCATATCTAAACCAACAGGTCCTTCTGAGCAGGAGAGGATCAATCTCCAGCTCTGCCCAGAGCTGCTGTTTCAAGGATTTAACCAATCAGGAATGCCTAAAAACACACTCAATTCAATTCATCTGTTAAAATTCTTTCCTGTAGCCTCAGTTTCTGGCACTCCCCGTATTGGCTGCCTATGCAAATGCTTTGGAGGTCGAAAAAAAACATTTAGGTCTGATTTGAAAGGCTCACAAGGAGAAAAGCTGAAACCAAATCAGTTCTCATAATTTTTATACACAGCAACAGGAGAAAACAGGAAAATCCCTGCCTCTCCCTACCAGAGTCAACACCAGAGGGATGTTTTTGCAGTTTTTAGTTTGTAGGAGCAACCCCCTAATGGGGGAAGGCAAGTCCAGTCCATGTTTCATTTATTGAAGAGAATAAAGGGGACTCTTCTCACTCTATTTTTATTAATATTGTTATCATTATTCTTATTAATATATTCTATATAATTATTTATACTACTTTTAATTTAATTTATATGAATAGATGTAATATATAATTATAGATATTAGTGATAATGATAATATTGATGTAAATATTTTTAAGATTATTATTYCTTCTTGCTCCTATGCTCAGAGAAATTCAGAATTCAGTTTTCAGAAGCAGATGCCTGTCATWATGCCAGGAGATAGGGACACAAAATGAGGCACTGTATCTGCCTGAGTCTGCCCCAAAAGTCCCTGTTCAGCAGCAGTAACACATTCTCCAAGCTGGTTTGTGCAAATGTGGTACGAGGTGCACCCACTGGGGTCACAGCCTYGAAAGAGCACCTTGGGAAACCTGGGCCAGCAGGTTTCCAAATTCAGCCTGGCATCAAACCTGGAAAACTGATAATAAACATGGGATCCACTCACCTTTCACCTTCAGGTGAAATTTGGCCAGCGATGCTCCAGGTGCCACGTGGATATCATGAAGCTCATCAAAGATCTGGGGCAACTGCTCCTCTTCAGTGGTGGATTCCTCCTGCTCTCGGCTAAGCAGTGATTAAAATGAGACAGAAGAAAATCAGGAAGCCAGGTAAGAGTTAGGAATCAGAACRACCTAGTTGAAGTTAATTCAGCATGTGGGGTTTGTTTTGATTCACCACCACCTGACACTTAAAGTACCAGAGTGATTCCATGAGGAATTCTCCAGGCTTGCCCRAAGGCTCCAGAGCAAGTCTGCCCCTGATAAATGTGCAGCTGCTACAGTTATTGCATCTCAGCTGTGCTGGATGTTCCCTTATGGCATTAACCATTGACCCTGCTCGACTCTACAAACCCAGCCCTGACATAAATACAGATTGTGTATGTCACCATCCAGACAGAGGTGAGAGCCAGAGTTCAGTATTTTACCTTGAAACGTACTCCTTGGCACTGTAGTAAGATGATGTCTCKGTGGCATCTGCTGCTGTCTCATAGTCAGTGCTGGTCACTGTTAAATGGAAAAACACGTTTTGAATAATCTGAGCTTTGAAATGATTTTTATTGCTTAAATAGCTCTTACTGATTATAGCTCCCTTACTGATTTGAGTGACTGGCAGGGGGATTTCTCACTGCTACTGCAGTATGATCCCACACATCCCTGGATTATGGAAAACACCTCTGTTCACCTGAAAAGCTTTGCTCTGAACCTCACATTGGAGCTGGCAAAACCCAGCTGAACCCAAAGGCTTGCAAGTGAAAATTTTGTGGCCAACATATGGTAATTTTTTTTTTTTTGTAGTATAAATGGTGTTTTTCTTGAGAAAAAGAAAGTAACCAGGTCTCAGCTGCACCTCTTCCCTTGGTTTTGAGACTTACAGTCCACACGGAGCTCAGCCTTGGTCGAAGCCACCCCCATGCTGTTCTCAGCAAGGCAGCGGTAGACGCCCATGTCCGTGGGTACCACAGCGGTGATGATCAGCTGGTGACACCCCTCCTGGTCCTCRTTGATCATGTAGTGATCGTTTTCCTCCAGAGCTTTGCCGTCCTTGAACCAGCGAACTGTGGGCAGGGGTTTGCCGATGACGATGCAGTCAAAGCTCACTGGGTACCCGTCCTGGACCTCTTGGTTCTGGAGTTCTGTCATGAACATGGGGGCTGCATTTGGGGTGGTTGGAGAGAAGAARGAAAAGTTTGGTTTAATTAAAAGATATATTTTAGGCCCCTGCTGCCCAGACCWCTGGTTTCCAGTTTTTTRATTGCAGAGTGATATAATTTCTCTGTGAAAACAGAAACTCGCTGACAAACACTATGAAGATACTCCATAAGTACTGCAGTATTACAGTGCCAACCACACTTTGTCCCTGCTCCTCTCCTTCCCTAAATGTGTTGTCTCCCTCAGAACATTCTAAAACATAATTAATTTAAATATAATAATCATAGTGTTATGTTCATGTTGTAGTAGGTGACACTTCTAGCGTCAAAAGGGGCTTTATGGATAAGTCAAAACATTGCAATGGCCTCCTTCARCACTAGCATCCCTCCTCTCCCTCAAAATGAAAAAGAATAAAAAAGCATTGACTTTTCCAAGAGTGAAAAGTTTTCAGTAAAAAAATGAAAAAAAAAAATTAAGTTACTTGAGAATGAAAAAATTATATTGTGACCTGTTCCTGCTGTCTTTTCCAAGGAATRAACTAGGTTTTCTCCCCTACCTGTATCAGAAGTCAGCAAAGGTGGTGGAGGTCTCGCTACTGGAGCTGCAAACTTCCCAAGGGTGGGAGGTGATGCCTTCCCAATGCGCAATTCGATTTTTTTCGGGCCTTGTTCCAAGATGTCGATCTCAACAGGAATTCCCAGAGCACCAAACATCTCTCTGAAGCGCGTGGCGGCCGTTTTGGCCTCCGACATGATCTCRAACTTGATGTAGATGTACTGGTCATCCTCACGGTACGTCTGGTGGTCAACCACATCGATGTCCCCTTCATCTGCACTGACAAAGAGCTCTTCCTCCACATCYGAGATCTCCGTGGAGATTTTGGCCCTGAAGAGCCTGTGGAGTCTCCTCCCTGCTTTTCGGAAAGCATCGTCCAGCTCACTGCCGGACGAGCTCTCTGTCTCGCTGTCGGTGCTCTGCTTCCCCTTCTCCTTGGGAAGAACTTGAGCTTCCTGAACACCAACCACCACCTTGGCGCTGTGGGAGACCTTGCCAAACTTATTGGAGRCCTCACAGGTGTATTTGCCCGCGTCCTTCCTGTCCAGGCCGGCGATAATCAAGGAGCAGGTGCCATCGCTGTAGTTGTCTATGTGGTAGTAGCGGCCGTCCGAGAGCTCTTTGCCGTCCTTCAGCCACCGGACGTTCATGTCGSTTTTGCTGTGGGCCACACACTCCAGGTGCAGGGTGCTCCCAGGCTCTCCAGAAAAGTCTTTGAAGGTCTCAGTAAATACCGGGCATTCTTGCTGCTTGATCTCTTTCCTGACTTTGTAGCCTTTGAAAGCGGCTTGGATCTTCACGGCYGCCTTGTTCATGGAGGGATCATCCAAATCTGGCAGCTCCGGCTCAGCTGGCGGAGCAGCTGTGGTGGCCACAGTGGTCTCCACAGTGGTTTTCTCCCACTGTTTCCACARCTTGCCTGTGGAGGCGGACTGAACCTTGCTGGTAACACTGATGCTCTTCTTCCCAGCTTTCTTGAGGTAGTTCACCAGGGAAGGAGTCCCGGCTCTGGACTCATCATCAGAGCTGGTGAAAGAGAAATCTGCYTCTCCTGTCCTGGCCAGCTCGTCACAGGTGGAGTACTCCTCAGAGTAGTAGTGAGACATCTCTGCTTCCTCCTTCCTCAGCTTCTGAAGCCTCTCATCCTCCTCAGGCACTTCRCTGATGGAATCCAAGGTGGGCTCCCGGCTCATCCGGCGTTTTTTGGCCAGGGCCTCCCAGAGGAGGTGAAGATCTCCCTCCTGGGCAGCCTCAGGGGGCAGGCTGGGCTGGACACGGCCATCCACCACCTCTTCAGGCTGGCTGGCTGCAGGAGCTTCCCTGGCAATCTCCTTCAGCATCGACACTGTGGGCACTGCAGGGAATTAAAGTGGTGAGAAGTTAAGTGTCTGTGAGCTTTGAGAAAGTGGAAATATTGTGCAGGAGAGTATCACTGGGATTTAACTAGGCATTGTATTGAGAA